CATATGCACAATATCTGAAAGAGTGAAAGGGGAAGAAAAAGAAGAAAAAGAGGGATTGGTAACTTAGCCAGTGAAGTATTTGTTTTTGCTCTAATTGCACTCCATCCGATGGTGGAAAACGAGTTTCTCAGTGTCAGTCCACATTGAACTTGAGCTGCCCACACACACACACACACACACACACACATCAAATCCCAATCCTGCAATAAATAATTAATCACAGTTTACAGCCTCTCCTCAGCTAAGTCCCAAGAGTGAGACAGCATGAAGTCTGAATTATGTCTGCCCTGTAACAGAAAGTTTTTTTCTTTCAGGGCATAAGACAAGATTGAGATCATTTTAATCATGCCATACTGTCCAGGATTACTTGTTTGCAGAAGCTGATAAATTCACCTTCCTTCCAGCTACTAAGTAGAAAAAATATTTGTGTTGCTCTGATGCTTGTTTCATGACATTTATATAACATTACATTCATACCTAGAAAGGAGAGGGCCATCTGGGCAAAATATCTGATTTCCATGCTGATCCCCGTGCAAAAGACTGTGCTCAGGTTTACCTATCAACATGGGAATTTCATGGTATTATCTGAGAAATTTTTGAGTGGCACTTGTGTTGTGCAGGCTGTCTGGTCTGCAACCATATTTGTTTCTCTCCAGCAGAGATTGAGAAAATGCAAATCCTTGTTGGAGGCTAGAAGCTTAGACTTCTGTCTCAGTCACCTGGAGATTAATGAATCCAGATGGTTGGAGAGAACATGTAGGTGCCAGCAGAAGAATATTTTCAGAACAGATGCTGGAAGGATAGTGGATTGCTCTGTGTTCCACTATGCTGATGCAGCTCCATGGTGTTTTTCTGAATCAAAACATATTTGAAAGCAGATATCTGGTTGCACAGCAGAATATAGCCTAGAAGGCCATTTAATGTGTAAGCATGGGATTTCTGGGGCCTCCTTTTTTAAGCTATTCTGATGGAGGAGGGTGGAGAGGAAGTTGAATATGAGTCAACAGTGTGTCCTGGCAGTCAAAATGGCCAGCTGTACCCTGGTCCTTTGTGGAACCAAGAGTTGGAGCTGTTTTGGAGCTGACGATTCTTGAGGGTCCCTTCCTACTCGTGACATTCTATGACTCTCTGATTCTAAATCTGACATAGCGTTAATAAATATGTTTACCCAGTTTACCTGTTTTTTTACCTTTAAAATCTTAAATGTTATAAAATGGGTAAATCTTCAGTATTAAAATCCCACAGTATACCTCCAAGTTCAAAAGGTAAACTTTTATGCTGATTAATATGAGCGTTCACAAACATATCATCTATACACTTGACACCATGCTAGGACTCTAACTGGAATTCACAGAACAGCCTCTTTTTCCAGAGCAGAATGGCAGTATCATTAGCTTTTCTTCATATTCTTTATTGTGTAAGGCAATGGTGGGATAACTAAGAAATAATGCCTAATAATTTCACGTATCATTAGAAGAATTTGTCTTGAATGGTTTGCCGGAAAAGTAAAGTGGAAACTCCAGTCTGATATTTCACCTTCATCAGGAATAAATGAATAAACAATAAATGAAAGACAGCTTTTGAAAGAGCAGAAGATGGGGCACCTTAAATACCAAAATAAATGTCATGTTATTCACTGTACAAATATTTTACTGTTTTTCAAAAATGAATCCAGAGCCTTTGTTTGATGTTATAGAGCACTAGGTCTCTAAGATATCAGCTGATGTATTGCCTTCTCATTTAGATGAATCCTCCAAAGTATCCTTCCTACCTCTCAGTCACTTTGTATTTTCCTATATGTGTGAGCTCACGCACACGAGCACATACATGTGTGCTTTGGATACCCAATTTTGACAGAAGAGCCATCTAACATTTCTTGTTTTCTGGTGTCTTCATGTGTTAGATAGCTTTTGTGATACTACAAGATGAGAGTTAATCCAAAAGTAGTTCTTATTCATAATATATTTCATGTGAGGTTTTTCTGGTATCCTTCCTGTGTGATAGAGAAGAATCAAACAGTCAGAATTTAATCATAAGGTTTTCCATAAGGGTAGGAAAATTTAAAAGAGCTTTGCTTAGCTGGGTAGAATCAAACTTGGTCATTTTAGCTGATTCCTGCTATACATACCAGACCATAGACTTGAGTTAAATTATCTCAATGGCATAAGCATTTCTGAAAAAGAAATAGTCAGGAGTATTATTTTATTTTATGATTAGTATTAATATTATATATTAACATACTCTCCATGCCGATATGTAATCTTTATGTTCTGTTTTGTTTGTTTGTTTGTTTTTCTTTTTTTTTTTTGGCTTCAGAAAGCCAAAATTACAGAAAAAACATACTGGACTGAAATGATGAAAATACAAATCAATGATAGTGATCTGGTATATTTACATAGAGAACCTAGCTTATTTTAAAATAGAGGGAGAATCCATCGTTTATGTTGTTTTGCAGCATCACTTCTTGTTTTCTCACAAGCTCTTGCTCTCACCACAGTGAACAACATGAATCTTGTGAAAAAAAGAGATGCTCTCAGCTTCCTTGTTTGAAAGTAAGCTATAGCTCTGGAGAACCAAAGGAGGAGTAGTTTGTTTTAGATGTCTGTCTACAGAGTAGATGTCTGTCCATGGAGAACAATATAGTGTCAGGGCCTTGAAAACATTTGGCTGAAGCCATGAATAAATCGGTCCTGAAGGAAATACAATAGCAATATCTAAGAAAAATCAGGAATGTGATCTTTTCATACTTTCCTTTATAGAAATTTTCATGTCTTTTTCTTTCGAATTCAGAATGAAATACATCTTGGGCTGCAGGTTATTCCCTCTGCTACATTCCTTCTTGTGTGGGCTCCCAGGGATATACCACTTTGCACAATTCCAAAACATTCTCATCTTTAACATTTAGGCAAAGTGGTCTGAGTGACTTCATCCATAAGACTTCCCATCAATCACCAATGCTTTTGTTGCTAAAGTGTCCTTTATGAAATAAGTCCTTATCTTTTACCTTGAATATGCATGTTATTTCCAACAACAAAAGGAATACAAACTCTTATGTCAAACTCTATTGCCATCTGACTTCCATTTGGCTGCAATGTTTCTTACTCTTGACAGTTTGCACAGGTAGATGACGTAGATGAGGGCACTCAGAATTATCATTGCTATACAAAGCATGTTGAGCAGCAATGGTCATTACCCATCTGGTAATATTCCTCCATTTTGTCATTCCAGTTGGTGTTTCACAGAAAGCTCTGCTTCTCAACAATATTTATGGATATTCTCAGCTGTTTGAAGTTATTGTGTAGTTCTGATTAATACTTCTTCCTCTCTGACACAGAAGGAACTGTGCATTCTAATACTGTCTTTATTATTTTCCATCAGATTCCACACTTCTGCATGAAAAACATGTAAATCATATTGTAGCATTGGAAGTCCACAGAATCTGGGAGCGTGTGTAGTAATCATTTCACATTTTATTTTCCTGTGTACTCTGAATATCCCAAATATTGTTGGTTTATTTATGGACATACTGTTCACATGGAATACCTTGTCCTTAAAAAGTAGTCTGGCTCAGACCTCAAACTCCATTTTTATGGTTTAGACTGCATTTGAATTGGTTATTTTAGTTTCCATCTTCAAATATAAGCTTATATTCCTTTGTCCCAGTAGTAAGTTTTGCAACAAGCAGTAAGCAACTGCAATGAGCACTGCAATGAATATTGCTAATTGTGTTGATTCCCACATCTAGTGAAATCATTATACTTATCATTATATATATATATACTATACTTATACTATACACTCTTTTCATATATATTTTTATTTTAAGGCTTCATAGAATATCTTAGCAATGAAAATCACATTGCATAATTAATTTCAGCTGAACCATACATGAGTAATTCATATGAGTCAGCTTGTCTTGTAAAAAGATGCAGTAGTTATCACCTGAGTGTTTGTTTTCTTTTATAATGAAACTTGGGTCAGTTAATGGACAGAGATTCTTTGTCTCTCTTTAATGGGAAGTTACAGCCAGCTTCTAGTTTGGCCTACTCCACTTGTACCACAGCATTCAATCAAAACAATCAGAACTTTTGGTTTAGCCCGCAAATATAATTGCAATTATATCTATGCATTTCAGTGATGAAACAGTGTCACTTTTTCACAGCTTTTAATTTCCAGCTGTGAGTTCTTCTTAGGCTGAAGAAAATAACTCAGATCAATTTCAGTAGCTCGTAGAGCTTCCAATACTGCTTTCAGTACTACATTAAGACAAAATGTACTTAAAAGTAGTAACTCAGCTACCATAAAAGAAGTTACTACATCGTTATTATGATTTATCTGATAAGGCGGAAGTGTTTCTTGCTCATTTCCAGCACACATGCAGACTTTCAAAGCAGCTGACAAGAAGTGTATGAGTGTGCTTTGCCAGAGCCATTGCTTTGGTGTTCTGTGCATGGAAACTCTTCCCCATGTCAGTCTTCCAGTACTGATTTAAACAAACAAACAAAAATTGTTCTCATAGTTCTGTAGCAACTGTTGATGGAGGAGAGAATGATGGGAACGATTAGAGCACACAGAAGGTTGTTCTGCCAGGTTGTGCTCCAAGAGGCAGACAGAGCCAATGACAAAGCATTTTGAGTGATTCTGCAGGGCCCGTTTACTGTGATAGCCAAGATAGTTCCTTATGTAGAGTAGATCAAATCAGATCATATCAATGAATTGACACAATGACACAGAAAAAATGTGATATAATGATGCCAGAACTAATCCAGGTGGTAAAAAAATGAAGCTGGAATGGAAACAGAATAAAATGCATGAGGGAAAAAAAATATTAATCCCCTGTTTATCATAAATATTTGTGTTTAATTAGGTCTTTATTGGTAATGGCAGTGGTCCTTAGACTGCTATCTTCACACAATTTGAACTTTAATTTGTTGTCTCTACTGTAGTCCTTATTTTGGGAATAACCAACCAAACAACAAACAGTGCACTATGTACTACTGTAACTGTTAATATTCAGCATGCATTTATGCTTTCCTTTATCATTGTGGATATGATAAACTTACTTTCTGTATGAAATGTTGTAATACTCCAAGCAGCAGTACAAAACACTCTCAAACGTGTGCTGATAGGAAAATCTAGCATTGCAGAGTTCATATATCAGAATATGTCACCTTGTGGGTGGTGAAAACACTGAAGTAATTGTGGCAAAGGCACTTGTCACACTGTCAGAGCCACATCTGATCCTACATACCACATTTTGAAATGCAGGAGGTAGAAAGTAATGACAAGTCACCCTGTGTAATAACAGAAATGAGATCATCAGAAAAGATGAATATTGCTACCAGGAAAAAAAAAAAAAAAAAAAAAGTGTCTTGTTATTTGTGTCTTCAAATTCTGTCTTGATATTTTACACTGCATGATGCTATGATGACTAAGGAGGAAGAAGCAGTGATTAAATTAAAAATCACAAGGCAACAGCCAGGTAATGTCCAGACCCAGGGCATGGGAGTACATTGTGCAGACAGAGACGTTGGGGGAGGGTACGCCATGAGACTGCCCCTATGCTCCGCCTATCCTGGAAAAAGAAGCACAAGGCTGGACAGCAAACGTGGGCAGGCTGGCTCCCAGCATCTACTCTCTTCCCAGGAGCACTGCTGGTCACCAGCCTGTGACTCCAAGACAGTCCACAGTGTTGCCTGAAAGATGGAAGTTTTGTGCAGCCTTACGTGCACTGGTCTGCAGTATGAACATGTTCAGTCTTTCCAAGTCATGTAAAGGAAACAGCTCACCCAGGCTTAGAGCATTATGCAAGCTCACTCTTTTTTTGTGAAGTACTGCAGAGATTAGTCTAAGTTATATCCTCAGAAGTAACTTGTAAGTAAAACTCAATTATTGAACATGTCTGGGCAAAAAGTACAATGAAATCTATGATTAATTCATAGCATGGATTTGTCTTAACTCAAAGCAGATGATGATACACCCTTTCCAGGGCCAGCTTCAGTGCCTCAAGCCATTTCTTCTTCAGTTACACCTCAAGCAATGATGACAACAGGTGTATTTCATCTTGTTCTTCCAGTAATTCTAATCTCTCAAGCAGGAGGAAGCATTTTCTTCAAGTGGTGCAATGTTCAGAAGTAGATAACATTGCTTGGAAGCCCTGAAGGAGTCTGACAGAAATCAACTCCCCATCCTCGTGACTCAAATTCCTCCAGTGAAATTCCTTACATCATCATCAAGCCTGTCAATAGGTTAACTCTGCCCATTTGTATGGTGATTCTCCATAACTATTTCATGTCTGATGCTTAACAAAAATCAGTGAATCAGTCAATCAGCCTCCTGAAAGACAAGTGATCTTCTATCATGGCATCTGTAATCACAGCAGGAGCAAGATGCTATTTTTAACATGACATCCTTAAAGCCATAGCCTTCTCAATTTTGATTGCATCATCAGCTTTCTTCACAGCTGTTAGAGACAGCAACCTCAAATCAAATAAGCATGTTTTAATTTTCAGAGTGCTGGTAGATTTAAGAACATGCTTACTGTTAAATGCATGCTTATATATTTTTAGGGTGCCAGATCCTTCACTTTTGTAAGTATGTATGTCTTCATTTGGAAAAAAAAAAAAAAAAGATTTTCTTTAAACAGAGATTTGAAGCTGCTCTTCTGAGTTTTTATACCAGCACTGATTTATAACTCAAGCCCTTTTATCAAGACTGACTGATAAAATATGCCTCATCTAAGGAGAATGGGAGGCAGGAAAAATGATCACTAAGATGTGCTTGTATAGACTTGCAGACTTTTGAAACAGAGAAATCTATTCAAGCGTGAAATGGGGCAGTGATACAGGCTCCCCAGAGCAGTGGACATGGCACCAAGCTGATGGAGTTAAAGAAGTCTGTACAGCACTCTTTGACGTAGGGTTTGGATTTGTGGTGGTGCAGTGTGGAGCCAGAGGTTGGACTCAGTGATGCTTGTGAGTCCCTTCCAATTCGGATATTCTGTGATTCTATGAGTCTATAAAATGAGACTAAAGTTGAAAATTCTGTTAGCATCTCCATTTTTTATGACCTAGAAAAGACTGAAAACAAGTTCCTCAGCAAACTCAATGGATGCAGAAAGGCACAAAAGGCAATGAATCTTCCAGGTAAGGAAGCATGCCTTCTTGTGCACCAACAAGTGAGGTAGAGCTGGAATGAGAGGAAGCCCCAACATTGTGTGCAACCACTGCTCAGCAGCAGCCTAGTGTGTTACCAGCATTATTTAAGTTACATATCCAAACCACAGCACCATCTGGAAGAAAATTCACTTCATCCAATCAGACTCTGTATGGACTGCTGTCCTCATTATCTGTGCTTCCCATATTGAATCCTGAACAAGGATGAGGCTTTGCCCAGCAGTCACATTGTGCAGAGTTCACTCACTTTAAGGAATGCATGTCAGTGCAGCTTCTTACTGAAGGATTGGATCCTTGGGGTGTCAACCTCACATACATAACATTTACTTAAATTTTTTTGTGAGCATAGCAGTTCCCTCCAAAAATGATTTTTCCCTAGCTAAACAAAGCCAACTATTTTGAGTATCTGATAATAGCAGTGATGACTATTATAGTTATTAACTTTCTCTTAAAAAGAAAAGCAGCCCTTCCATGAGACATTAAAATCACACACGGGATGTAATTATTTTTTTTAAGGTGGGAAAGCATGTAGGGGATATGAAATGAGCAAGCAAAGCGCTATGAGCAGTTTAAAGGTGTCTTGTCAGTCCACAACATCAACTACTGAATGGACAAGGAAGACAAGGTAAGGAAGACAAGGGGTTCAGTGGTGTTGCCTCCTTTCATAGTGATCTCCAGACTGGGGGTAATCTCTATGCCTGTTCCACATTCCTTGCCTGTATAGACTTTACAGCACAAAAAGCACACAGAACATATTTCAGTTCTATTATTTCATAGGTTTTAAATACACACCATAAGTGCTCCCCTGATAATGTATACTTACATGAACTATGTTCATGTAATGCTTTAATGCTGCTGTGGGTTAACCCCCATTGGCAACTAAGCAACACAGACTCGAACTTCTCTCCAACCCCTAGCAGGACAGGAAAGAAGAAAAGGAAGACTAGAAGTGCAAAATCTCATGAGTTGAGATGATATCTAATAAATGAAGAAGTAATAGAAAAAAGAAAGCAAAAGCAATCATGCAGAGGCAATTGCTTGTCACCTCCCATGGGTAGACCAATGTCCTACCAATTCCCGAGGAAATGATGGGAACTTTCCTAAGCTCTGTTCCCTCCATTTTACTGCTGAGCATGATGCTCCATCATGCAGAATAGCTCTTTGGTTAGTCTGAGTCATCTCTCTGGTTGTATACCCTCTCTGGTTAAATGCATCCACAGTCTCGTGAGAGTAAAGTGAGAAACAGACAGGGCTTTTATACTGTGTAAATACAAAGAAGGCTGTCATAAATACAAAAAAAAGCAAAGCTAAAATATTGGTTTGTTATCACCATTGTTTTGGTCACAAATTTGAACCACAACACTACAACAGATGGTATGAAGATTAACTCCATTCTAGCTAGAACCCATACAAACGCTTCTAATCAGTAGCTGCCAACTAACATATAATTCTAATTCTGGTTTATCTGGCAAATGTACGAGTCCTTTAGGTGTGCCCTTTGACATTCCCATGCTTTTTGCTATTACCATCAGTTCCATTTTCAAAATAAATACCTCTTTTCTCTCTCCGTGTAGTAAGACAAATTGCTTTTGCAATAAATACAGGTAAGTTGATTGAAATTCATTTTTCTAATATGTCCTCGTCATACTTTCCTGAACAGGATCTTCAGTTTCTAATGAAAAAAAAAGATAAATAAATAAAAAGATTTTACTGTGTGCAGCTATTCCAACTTCCACAATCTTAATAAAAAAAAGTAAATTAGATAGATTTCCTTTAGTTCACTTATCATATATTTGACAGGTTTAACTTGTCCGGTTAAGTTCTACCCACTAGCTTCTCTCTAAGCAATTTGTACTCCATAAGAATTATTTCACTGAGACTAAAATAAATTCAGTGGAGGTGACAATGGGAAGAAACCTTTTGAAGTCACTAGATTTGTGGTTGGCCACACCAGGCTTAGTGTAACCCTTCATCTTTATTAGAACCTGCAAAGCATCAGTAACTGGGCAACTGGAGGGCTCACAAGCTTGGGTGATTCTCTGTCTGCTTATAAAGTGGCAGTTGCCAATGTATCTGAACACCACTGGAAAGGCAGCTTGTTGCTGCAGGCCTGCAAACAGCATCCAGCTTAGCTGAGCTATTACTACCATGCCAGGCCTGTTCTACAGCATGCATGCACTGGCCTGGAAATAAAAGAAGTTAATTCGAGATTGTTTTTTCTGGAAGCTGTGATTTTGAGCTTTCTGGAACTGCCAAAAAAACAAGAAGCCCAGTTTCTTCTTTGCTGGGCAAGTGCTGTTGCAAATAGTAAAAAGAAAAACAAAAAAGATTGTCCACCGGCCATACTTAAGAATGAAAATATTGACAGCCAATCTCTTTTGGGATAATTCAGTAGCAGCATTATGCTTTCAGAAGCAGAAGCACAGCCACAGCATTATATCCATCCAGAGTTGTAGGCATAACATCACTTATCAAAGAACCTATGAGTGGGCTCAGGACCAGAGCAGCAGTGTGCTCGGACCTGCCAACAGCTGCAGCTGGGTATGAACAGATACCAAGATACATGTCCTTGAGGCAAAGTAGGACAACTCAGGCAGTATCCTGGGTTGCAGGCACATTGGCAGTGCATGAGGAAGAGCATTGCCAAAAGGCCAAGGAGCAAAATGCTTCCTCTTTGCTTATCACCGGTGAGGCACGTCTGGATACTGAGCCTGGGTCTAAGATGCCCAGAATACTGACAGTCTTAAGCCAGCTGGGAAGCATCATAGTTATTCATATTGAAGAGCTATCTCCATTCACTCTGGGAAACAACAGTAGCCTTATTTTATCGGAGACCTCAGTATCCTGGAGCAAGTTCAGCACAAGACACAAAGACAAGGAAGGTACTGGAGATCTCACATAGAAGAAAAGCTGGCCTGTCTAGCATGGAAAAGAGATGGCCCAAGGTGATATTATAAAAGTGCATACATTACCTATAGGAGAGAATAAAGAAGATGGAGTCAGACTCTTAATAATATCCAGTGAAGGTGGTAGAGGCAGTGGGCATATGCTGAAACACAAGCCATTTAAGTTAACCATGTGATTCTTTTCTTTTTTTTCTTTTCTATTCAGAGGCTGTTCAAACACTGCAACAGGTTGCTCAGAGGTGGTGTGTTGCCTCCATCCTCAGAAACATTCAAACCTAGTCAGACTCAGCCCTGAGCAACCTGATGTAGCTGATCCTGTCAGAAGAGCCCATCAACCCCAGTTCTACAATTCTTGTGGATTACATGATTACAATTAATTTCTTAGTGCCTAAATGCTTCCATGTGAAGAGACAGCTATTCTGATCTTACTGTCAACATGCAAAACAAGGGCAACATCAAGTTTTTTTTTACAGAAATTGAAGGGAAAGGAGAAAAAACTAGTTAACATCATGGTTATCTGAATCTGAACAAAACTTCACCACAGTACAAAATTATGTTGTGGCTGAACATTTGAAAAAGTGAACAATATATTTCTTCAGCATATAGAAAAGGTATAGTATACAGAGTTAAAATTCATCAAAATCAGAGATGATGTAAATTGAATGTACTTTTTAGCAGGAAAGTTCACAGAGTAAAAAGAATTGAGCAGTACATTAAGTAAACGTTCACTTCTCAACATTGCAAGAACAACATCTTGTGAATCTGAAGGCTTTGGAAAATTTGCCCCAGGAGCGATGAAGAGCTTCTAGACAGAAGAAATGGCTGAGTCTCAGTTAAATTTAACTAACGTGATTTAATTAACCCAATCCAAAGAGCATATTTTCCCTATTGAAATAGATGTTATCACATTTTCTTTAATTTTCAATGGTACAGGCCAATCTGTAGAGAAAGCGTAACAAGTCCATCACCTGAATCACTTCTCTCAAAATCCTTAGCCGTTTCGTGCAACATCTCTGAGATAAGCATCTACAAGGATTGTTTTTCTCTGCTAAGGAGGCCCTTCAGCATGACGCATGCTCAATTTATGGCACTTGAAGACTTGCCAGTATTTTACCCTTCGGTCTGTTTTTACATGCATCTTCCTCCAAGCGCCGCCCAGTCTGTCATAAACATTGGAAATAAGATGAAAGTCTGCTTGTTTTCATCTATGCAGTTTGCTACCTCAATTTAAATCGCTCTGCAGGAGGAAAACCTTAAACAATCACTGAAAATGGGAACATCTCAGTTTGGTCAGCTTTGAAGCTTCTTAAGAAATTGTGTTTCTAAGCCTTTGTGTTTTTCAGGTGAAATGAGTCATTTGAAAGATTTCTCTATCTATGAATGGATCACTTGTGAAAGTATTTTAAATAATGTAAGTGGGGCTATAAAAGCCTTGGTTAGCCAGGCAGCTAAAAGTAGCTTAACAGTTATTACTACTGGGGAGCGGTGGCAAAGTTATCCCACTTATAAAAATAGCTTTTGCCTCGTAATATTGCTTCTTTAGAAAGGAGAAATTTGTTCTAACTGTATTGTTTTGAATTGCTTAGGGAAGAATCCATCAGCCATAAGGTGACTTGCTGTTGAACTTGGTCAAAAAACTCTTAATAACTCCAGCAGATGCTTCTCAGTTTTAGGAAATGGAACTCCCCTTCTTCCACTCTTCTCTCTTTTGGAATCAGGGACCAGTATGACTGAAATCCAAGACCATCCACAACAACTGTTAAAGCAAAATCCGGAGTTAGTCAGTCAGTGTTTATACAACTTATGTGCACAAAGACAGTATCAGAGAAGCTTGATCCAAGTCCGTTTACTCTGATGAGCACTGCTAATATAGCCAACAAAACTGCTTGGGAGAAAGATTTTGAGATTAAACTGTGCATTTCCATGAGTAATAGTCCACACTTTTAAAAATTTTGACCTTGGATATCAATGTTAAGAACCTGCCTTTCCTTACTTATCCAGGTTTTCTGTATTGTTGGACACATGGTCATTCTTTTAAATACTTTCTCACAAGAGAGAGTAGACTCTACTAGATTCTCAGTACAGTTATTACAGTGATTTCTCTTTAAGTTACAGATGCTTTTAATGACTTGACATACAGAGTTCAACCATATTAGGAATGTAATTTATAAATACTACTATTATCTCAGTGCTGTACTTAAGCAACTGTTGACACTGCTGCACTCAGACACTTACTATCAGCATCGTTGTGGTATTGTGAGCCTGAAATCTAAAACTAAATCTCTGTTGTAAGATTTTTTTTTTCTAAGGAGAATGAAAAATGATGGCAGAAGGACCTCTTTATTTCCTGTAGCACACAGCTTAGTAGATATTCTTAAAGCAATATGTAATGACCAAAGAAATACGGGTGTCAACGTATGTATGGAAAAAAGTCATACCCATAAAGGATGCAGAGTCTGGAGGTTTCAAGAAGAACAAAATGAAAAACTGATTCCTGCTTCAGTATGTATCCTGCTGTTATTTAATTAAAAATAACACTGGTCTGGGCTCAGTAGCACATCATTCACCAACTGTAGTATTTTGGATGCCAAAAGTGCTCATTTTCAAATGTATCCTGTCAAAGGTAAGAACTGCTAGGTCTTTTGGATTCTCTTTCATACACATTTTCATATCTGTGATCGCCAGCTATTTCTTGCTTGCCAAACTTGCAAGGCCATAAATCTGCCAGAAAAGGTGCTAACTCATAGAGGATTACTTTTGGTGTTAATGGGAGTAGTAAGTCTCGGTAACATAAAATGCCTTTGTTGTCTTCTTTATTTCAGAGATTTCTGTTGAGCATTTGTACTGGTGCTTAATGCCACTAATACATGATATTTCTTGTAAATCAGTGTCCTCTGATACAGTTATATCACATGATATTCCCCATCATACAGTTAAAAAATAATTACATAAAAAAAAGTACACAGCTATAAATACTTCCTCTACCTGTGCAATAGCAGGTATATCAGAAGGAGCTAAATGGCATAGTGGCACAAAAATTATTGTTTTAGGTACATTCAGTTCTTTCTTTCATCTACAGTGGTTAGGAATATGTTCAGGGAGAAAAAGGAATAGCCATGGTCAGGGAAAAACAGGATAGATATGTATTAAATTCTGTTACATGTGTTGCATTTGGAGATGTATATAATGGAAGTTGAAAAATCTTTTTTCTTTCTGGACAGATCTTCAAGCTTTGTGAAGCTCACAGTAAAACATATATATGTATATATATTTGCAACTTTTGAAGAAAATGGAATCACAGTTTCTGCACAAAATGTGAACCTCTTATGGTCAAACCACTTACATTCATTTAAATTAAAGAACTATTTGCAAGTCATTGTGACAGAACAGCAATGCCCTTATTTTATTGATTTATGACTTGACACCTCTTTAAGGACACCCAGAGTATAATGGACAACAAAAACTCTGAAGCAGTCTGAAGGGATAACTTTCGCCTGTAATCTAACTCATAAGGTAAAGAACTCAGAAATTTACAATTTCTCATAGCTTAGCTATGAATATTTAATACATAAATCTAGTTGATTTAATAAATAAATCCTGGAGGGTTCAAAAAGTTATGTGAGCACTGCTATATATCTGAATCATTTTTGACTTTTTGTAGCCAGCTTGCATTTCAAGCATACCTACCCTGTTTTTTTGATTTCAAATCAAAGTGAAGATTAAAACAGACAGGATTCAGTATTTCCTTTAAACTCCAACTATTTTCACTACTTGCATCATATTACCTGTGAACGTTTGAATTATGGGAAATTACAAGAATAGCTGAATATCTGGAATAAAGACCCCAGAAATAATTGATCAAATAATTTTATTATGGAACAAAGATCAAATTACTTATAGAACTGATTATTGTACAGTGTTTGTAAAGTGAAACATCAAGACTGGCATCAGCTCCAACATCATTACGTAAGCTCAGTTCCTAAGATTATGCAGCATCTGTACCTTACAAGAAGATTGTGCTTTGGTTTAAGCTGTATAGAGACTACATTTTACACCAACCTGGTTTATAAAAAAATGAGAAACAAGAGGCTCTCCCATATTTGTGCCAAGAAATAGTGGGAATTTTCCCAAGAATTTTTCCATTCAGTATCTGAGCATGTTTACTAACCTACAACAAAGGTGTTACTTGGAGAGATTGCGTCTTTCCTGTCAAGATCTCTCACTGTGTTATGATTTGTGGATAGACCAGAAGCACATCTATGAACTACAAAGATAACCTGAAGTATCAGGGTTGTTGTGTTTTTGTTTTTTTTGTTTTTGTTTTTTTTTTGTAGAGAAAACACAAGATAATGTTGTACAATCACGTGAATGAAAGAAAAATATTGTACACATCCCGATTACTCTCTTGGAAGATATACTAATTTGAATGACACCAATTACCATTCTTTCTAATAGGTCAAATAAAATTTTAGCCTCATAGAAAAATGTATATGATGAATTTGTGGTATATATTTTTTAAATTCACTATGTATCATTTCATTTTTTCAAAGGAATTAAGGCAAAAAACCCACAAACTATACTGCAGATTCTAATGCAATGGTGAGAAAAACAACACAGCAAATCTTATTATTACATCAGGCCTCAAGGATCCACATGGAAGGAAAAGGAGACAGTGCTGACTTTTCCTGAGATCAGTGGGACTTCTCAGACACAGCTTTTCTGAAAACCAGATACTTGCTCTCCAAATTGTGGACAAAGAATTCCAAAGCCTTGTTTTAGAATCTACTTCAGACAATGGTGTCTTCTCTAGGGAGCACTGTTTTCCCTTCTGATGTGTATTTTTAATACTGAATCATACCAGCATCTACAGCCTCCCTGGGAAACCTGTTCCAATGCGTCACCACTCTCTGAGTGAAAAATTTTCTCATAATATCTAAATTCAATCTCCCCTGTCTTAGTTAAAACCACTCCCCCTTGTTCTGTCCCTGTCCACCCTCATGCAAACAGTTGTTCCCCCTCCTGTTCATACGCTCCCTTCAAGTTGAGGAAGGCCACAATGAGGTCTCTCTGCAGCCTTCTCCAAGCTAAACAAGCCCAGTTCCCCCAACCTTTCTTCACAGGAGAGGTGCTCCAGCCCTCTGACCATCTTAGTGGCCCTCCTCTGGACCCGCTCCAAGAGCTCCATGTCCTTCTTGTGCTGGGGGCCCCAGGCCTGGATGCAGTACTGCAGATCGGAAAGAAGCCGGTCGGTCATGAGCATATCACTGCAGATCAGCCACAAAAAAAAATGGTGCTGGGGCAAATGTTTATGAAATGAAAGATTTTGAAAATGAGTAATTATAAGTGAACAATTCATTAAAAATGATATTTTTAGCTTGAAAAATACATTCGGAAATTTCTTATTTTAGTAGAGAAAAGGCTACTTTCATTGAAATAACTAAGAAATTCTTGCACAAAACATAACATTTGCTTTCTTTTATTTTGATTTGTCGAAAGAATTCCAATACATACACTTTTTCAGAAGAGAATATTTTAGGAAGGCTACATTTTTGCCTTTTTGTGGGTTTTTTTCTTTTTTCTTTTTCTTTTTTTTTCCGTATGGGGAATACATTTTAAGACATTGCAATCGAACCTGTTAAAATACAAAAAAAAAAAAAAAAAAAAAAAAAAAAGGCTGTTGGCATTGTTTTGTCTTTAGCATGCAAGCAATTTAAACAACCTCAGAAATGCTTAGGAAATGGCACAAGGTAAGTCTTCAGTAGACAGCAGTCTGTTACTGGGTGATTTCACCCTAAGCATGAAGATATTTAAATATATTTTTTTTCACATTACCTCTGAGCACATTGCTTTTCTGATAGATCTGCGGTTGAGTCTGCCATCAGTAAAAATCACTGCTGGAGCTGCTACGAGAGACATGCCAGACTCTTTGGAAAATTTTATTTATTTTGTTCTCTTGGCTTTGTAAGAGGCATTACAAGTATTAAAGCAGAGTAGTCATTAAGATTACAGTTGAGGAATGATTAATTATCTCCCCTCTGTCACCTCCACATATCTTCCCTCTGACCCGTTTCTCTCTTCTTTCCCTCGCACTCTGTGGACCAGATTCTGATTGGTGACATCAGTGATGCTGAGATCAGAAATTGGCTCATCACTTTTATTTTTCCCTTGCCTTCCCTCTAATTTGCCTTTTTCTGTGCTTCTCTTCGCAGACTCTTCACTGCAGCTCCCAGCACTTTGCAGGTATCCTTGACTACAGCTCTTATTCCCCAATCTCTGGCCAGCTGGAGCAGCTCCCTGGAATGATATAATCTAGATTGAAGGCAGGTGGCCAATCAGCAAATGAGCAACTTGTTGGCACACAACATAAGTGACTCAGCCACTATTTGGTCCCATCTTACTGTCTTAAATATGGCCAAAAAATAGATGTGGAGAGTGGACCTTGAAGAAGATGACTAGTGAAATGCATGAATCAAAAATAAAACCTGGCTTTTAAGAAACAAAATAAAGTCATAGTTCTACCCAATCAACAACCTACCTGCAAGGCAAAACTAGCACAGACAGATGCTGTAGTGGATTTATATTGTGTTTTTAAAGTGGGACAAAAAGAGTTGCATTACGAAGTTCTATGATTAAATGGATGGCAGAATTTCCATGGGATGGGAAATCCTAACAAATCTTTAAAGCTGTTCATTGTACAATACTGTAGATGTAACATGAGGTTTGTATATGTATCCAATCCTGAGTAAGATCTAGGCACAAACAAATCAATATGCATGTCATTTGAACACATTTACAAAGCTCTACTTGAATTAGAAATCAAAGGACAATCTCCTGCAAACATTTCCACCTACATGAAGTTGCTGAACAAGTTGTTACAAGGATAAGTCACTGCTTATTTTCATTGCATTTTTTGGGAAAGCTTGAAATTTTCAAGAAGAAATTTTTAGTACATGGAAACTGAATTGAAAACCAAAAGTTTTTAAACATGCCTGTCATCATTCATGTTGAAAACGTTGTCATAGAAGGCCTTGGAAATACCACTTCCAATTAACTTCCAGCAGTTAATTCATGCAGTTCAGGGAAAAGGAGATTTACCATGTCAACAGATTCAACACTTTCACTAGATAGACCACATAGGAGAAATATGCCATGAGCATACTGCATTAGGGTAATTGTAGGCCTTTGTGTTTTCAAAGTGGAGATCGTCTGTCTTGCAAGAATTTGGGTGCTTGGCCAAATTACAGTAGTGAAAAAAAGGTTCACAATTGTGGCATGCTGAGACAGAAGTTCTAACATCATTTGTCAACATAGCTCTGCATACTTGAAAAGAAGGGCAGCGTTAGGGATCTCAGCAGAAGTGTCTGCACAGTTTACAAACCCAGTTTAGCACCCAGAGCCAATCAATGCTGTTTTCTTTAACACAACACACAAAAGAAATGAACAAGAAAAATGTGGTGGTTGTGCGCAGTATAGTTCCAGTACCCTTTGGCAGGAATTCATTTGCTGTTATCTAAACTGGAAAGGAAATAATTTTCTAAGACAGACCTATATCAAATGTGTGTGCTTTCAGAAACAGACAAAGTTCTACCTGTGATGCCTCAACTCCCATTTGTACAATTATTTTTGTTTGCTTATTTTTTAAATCAGTGCTTTATTTTCCTAAGGGTCTTTGTCAAAGTCTGGTCAGACAGCATGACATAAAAACCAGTATGCTTGAACCTGACTGATCTGTGTGATGCTCTAGTTCCTTGCAAGGCTCATGATAAATATCAGTCCTTTTCACAGCAGATTTTCTACTCACCAGTGCCTGTTAATAGTCAGAAAGGTTCTTGAGTAAAATGATCCCACAGTGTAAAAGAAACAATCCACCTACACGTTGAATAACACTGCCTGAAAATGACACTTTCTTAATGACTGAAATTTGAGATCTCTTGGCTGACTTTCCTCAGTTCAGCTTTAACCTCTCCAGTATCACAGAACTGGTAAAGTACTTGTTTCTTAAATTAATTATCACTGCCTTGACTGTAATAGAAAATAGTGTAGCAGTGTAAGTAATCCAAGATAGTGTGTTAAGAGGGTGAGTTGTTTACAATCTCTTTGCAATTTCATTTATCCCTGAGATCATCCAGCTATAGTCACAACAGCTTCTACATGAAGTTACTTATGTGGAATCTACCAAAAACACCTACCTGATGAAACACTGCATAGAAATGAGTTTTGAAGTACTACAACAGCTATCAGCAAAAGCTGCAGTAGCCATGAGGACGAAAAAGAACTGATTCAGTCAACTAGACTTCCCACTAGCTGCCAGGAGCCCCCATTTCACATTCCTTGGCCTGAATTTTCTCCCATGGATAAGTATTAACTCTGGGTTTTTTGTTTCTTGTTTTTTCATTTCCAGCATGGTGTCTCTCATTCTTACCTGCTCTTGTACTGTCTCCAATCTTCACTCTCCTTTGTTCTTCCCTTTAATATACAGATCTCCATTCTTCTCCCAGACAGACTTTCATAACTAACTAGGAACAGAGAAGTCACTGTCAGGTCTCGGGTTCATCTTTATATTTGAGAACAGCTACAAAACAAAAACAAACAAACAAAGAACAACAAACAAAACAGAAAATGGGTATTTAGAAGTAGCAACATTCTCTGCTGAGATCCTTAATTCTTCAGAAAAGCCAAATTGTTGCAGATTTGGTATGTAACAGGACAGGGAGAAGAGGATAGGTATGAATACATTAACAATGCTAATAGTGAAGCCGCATCTCAGAGAAGCCCTGCCAGATTTTTCAGGGTAATGTAGTCCCATGCTCTTGAGTGCTACTCTCTGTGGGTGCTGACTTCACAGCTGTGCAACCCACTTCTCCACTGTATTTGGGTTATTCCTCAATAGTCCATGAGATTTTAACAACTTTGCCCATGAACTGAAACACGGCTGTGCTCCTATTGATATTACTCATTCACATGGTCCAATCTCTTCTATCCAGAAATCTTTAACTGATTATATGTACAGGTTTATGGGGCTCCCGTATAGGCCAAATTTGGCCAAATTTGCCACAGCTAGAAGTTTGTCCAACCATCTAATTTGTTTTTAAGTGGGTAATTTCTATTTTATGTTTTGGATAGTTTCAGAATCAAATACAACAGTACTTTTAGGTTTAATGGCTTGGATCTATCCTGCATAAGGATTTCTGCAACATCTATGTTCTCAGGAGTTATTTGTGAAAGTCCTCCCTGTAGTGGATTCAGAGGCAGCAATGGTTGTGCATTTTCTTTCTTTTAGAATTGCTCCTAATATAATTCCTTCCAAGTGTCAAAGACCCAGCTTGTTTGAAGTCTTGCAGGTAAAAAGGATGCACTTTTGGCTCAGGAAAATCAAGAAGCAGTTAGAACAGCAGAATACCTGCTTTGCCTGTGCTGAGAAGACAGCAGTCAGCTTCCTCAGTGTCCTCTGCAACCTGAACAGTCAGTTGATTTTAGTTTCTACTTGCATAACCGTGGCAGCTGAGGAAAAAGTTGAGGGATGTAAGGTGGTGGCAGAAACAAGCATTAGCAACAAGGCACTGAGTCCATTTCTACTACTGGCTATCTCCCACATAAACAGAAAAGGCAGCAAGCTCAGTCCTTTCTAAGCAGCATGCTTTGTATAGGAAAGTAGCTGGAAGCAGCAGCGTAGCTGAATGCAGGAAGAAGATGGAGAGGATAGAGATACCTGTAATCACAGATTACATCCATTTTTTCCCCTTGCAGGAACGTTTATCACCAACAATCAAACAGAAGGAGGGAGTTATGATTACAAATCCTAATTTATTAATTAACAATAATGCACCACTTCTGTGATTTTTGTTTATTAATCTTTTTAAGAACAAACAAAATGTTTACTGTCATGCAGGATAATGATTGCTTTGCAAGAGATTTCTAGAAATTTCTATGAAAATTTTTGAAATTTTATGTCTGTTTCAGGCTTTATGTAACTACATCTCAATTACACTGTCACCAGTCTTCTTTATTTTCTTGTTACTCCCCTTAAGAGTAGGCCGTATTAGCATATTTTCTTGTAAATGGTGCTGCTTTAGTTTTCTTGTTCCAGGGGCTCTTTTAAACAACAGCTAATACTAGTTTCCACTTGTCTTTTAAATGTGATCTTTTTTTGTTACAGAGGGGACAGTTATTTGCCCACTCTTGCTCAGACCACTTCTATCTACCCACTCATAAACTTGTCTTCTTTCCTTGCTAATGGTTCATAGAGGATCCAGTCTAAACAGAGTTTCAGAAACTCAAAGCAAAATGTGGTGTTTTATGTTTTTTTAAATCTTTCTTATTGAGTTAACCATGAAGCTTAGTACAGTTATGTACCTGTGCTGCATGGCAGTCTACATACCACAAATTGCAGCATGTAGCATTAACTACTGCTAGCATACGTGAACTGAAACTTCAGCATGCATACAGCATCCATACTTTTCATAAAATATGAGTTGCATCTGTGTGCAATAATGTGTGATAATTTGTTCACAGTGGCAAGCCCTATGAAAAGACTGATGGCAACAGAGGCAAAAGGTGCACAGCCACAGTCCTTAATGTTATCATGAGCGTTTATCAGAGTAAATGGTGGCAACACTGTGGGACAGGAACACATTCCTGATATTCCCACAAAAAATCCATTTATTTTGCTAAATAGGATGTAAAACAAAAGGCCAGTAAGTAATACAGATAACTATTTTATATTAACTGGAATTAGCAAGTCCCCTAGATTTAGTTCTGTTTGAGACACTTCTCCAGTACAACTCCACTGTTCCTTGATGGTCTATTTTCATTGATACTTTCATGTTGTAGCTTGAACAACCAAAACATGAGGTTTTATACTTAACTAATTTTTCCTAAGTACTAGCATGTCAAGATTTTGTGGCCTCCTTCTTTGTAATATCTTGCAGTAATAGTTTTCAAGTGTTTTCATGTCCTTTGAAAGTCTTTATAGCATCAATAACTACCTCAGATAACAAAGAATAACTGAATCTTTCCCTAATTTTGGGAATGGCCTCCCATTTACAGATCTATGTCATTGCTCTTAAGAGATCATTCTGCGTATATTTTAGAGCAAAAAAGTCCTCATTAAACCCATTTCACAGAGAAGCTCTAGGTAATTTTAAGAAGTGGTAGAATTACCAGAAATTCATAAGAGCTGAGTAACTGCAACAGTTTTATACAGAGTATGGAAAGTGAAAGAAAGAAAATCCTTTCTGTTTCTTGATAGTTTTTAACAGAGTATTTGAAAACTATAGGTAACTGGCTTGTCACCAGAACTTAAATCCTGACTATCTTTATCAGGAATGAGCTATTTTCAGGCTACTCAATATGAGTATCCAGTTCTGTTCCTTCATTTACAAGTGAAAGAACAAACACATAAATAAATAAATAAAGCTTAAAAAGATTTTTTTTTTTCCCTCATTAAAATATAGTTTGGATGACTCTGTTTCAGGAACAAAGCATAAAGCTTTCTTTGAGATAGTTAGAAGTTTTCAGACTACTAGAAGCCTTGAAGTCTTCTTATAAACGAAACAGGACAATAAGTTCATGTTTTGAATGTGATAACGCTCTCCCGCATTCTATCTGGGGGTTAAAGAGTGCTTGGAAAGAGATGTAGGGTTCTGACTCATAGGTATTGCAGTACACTGCTGCAGCAGTTAAAGACATTACAAACACAGGCTGTTCCGTCTTCTGCCAGCCACGACAATGGAGCGTCCCAGCCACCACAATGTACAGTTTCTTCATCAGATTTTATTTCCAGTTCAACAAAAGAGCAGGGTGACTTTGTGAAATGGGCAGTGACAGTATCTTTTTTCTTTTTTCAGTTTCTCTTTTTCAGGCAACACTCTTTAGTGTTCTCTTAAAGCAATACTTTTTACTATTTACTATTGAAACACACATTCACTCATTTTTTAAAACATCAATATACACATTCAGTTCCATGCTATACCTCCTCAGCTGGGAACTTATTTAAGCCCATCAGCAGATGGCCAGATGCCTAACCAGCCCTAACAACAAGCTCCTCTTCCACATCGTTGCAAGACCAATGCAAAAGCCTGTTCCACATCCCTACAAATCGACAGAGCTCCATGGTAGAATTCACCACTTTACAGCTTTGGCTCAAAAGCAGTGCCATATCTGCACTTTAGCTATAATGATTGCCACTAGAGTAGTGGAGTCCAACTTCCACCAGTAGCTTATGAACACTTTAAGAATGAGGTAGACAAGCCTCAAGAACATGCTGTTTTCTCCTGACTCCACCACACCAAATGTTAGTAATATGGCTGATGGGAGTGGGAAAGAAAGATTGCCAACAAGTTAGTGTAGTACTAAAACATCCTGTGTGAATCAAATAGAATTGGGGTCTGAGATGTGCTACACAACAGCTGTCATAAGAGTGGTATTTGTACAATCAGAAGATCTCAGCAGTTTCTCACAGAAGGTATCTAGCAAAACTGTAAGTACAGTCTTCACTGCTGAGTCCCATCTATGGACAGCCTTTTCAATATTCATATGTCATTTCAAGAATTAATAAATGCAGTGTTTTCCAAAGTATGAAGACAACATGTAGGCTACAGCTGTTTTGAGAACAAACTGCATAGCTTAATGTCCTTAGCTATCTCAGTTGTATAACATAATGTTTGTTGCACAAGACAAACTGGACAGTAAAAATACCTTACCTTGAAGCTTCTAAGCACATCATAATGACTTATGCAACTAAGTGACTCAAGGAGATTAAAATGTCTTGCAATAAAATAGTGCTCCACAAGTTTGAGTCTAGCAAGCTTACAGGCCAGTGAAAAGGATTGCTAAGGGTGAACAGGCTCTAATTCATGAAGAAAGCAAGAAAATGCAGCAATGAACACAAACCCCACAAAACATGATAAGTTAAGAGAATTTACCTGCGATAGATTAGGAACAAGTATACAGTTGATCAATTTATTAAAGACTCTATAAACAGCACACAGATCTTTTTATTATAGAGATATCTTTGATTTGTTGAAAATATATGGATTTAAGGCTTTAACTGATTTACTAATCACTTATATGAATTATTATGGATGGATGTCCCTTTCTATATTCAGCAATTTTCATAAAATCATATAATATTGTGAGCTAGAAGGGACTCACGAGGATCAACTACAATCTGCCTCCACTCAGGATCACCCAAAATTCAAACCATGTGTCTGATGGCATTGTCAAAACACTTCCTGAGCCCTGGCAACTCGGGTCTGTGATAACTATTCTGGGGGGCCTGTGCCAGCGCTTGACCGCTTTCTTAGTGAATAACATTTTTCTAATCACAAAATGATGTAGGGATTGGAAGGAATCTCTGGAAATCACCTAGACCATATACTGATAAAGCAGATTTCCTAGAGAAGGTTGCACAGGAAAGATCTCTAATAATTTCCAGAGAAGGAGATTCCACAACCTGACCCTTTCCTGATACAGCTCCATGCCATTCCCTCAGGTCCTGTCACTGTCAACACAGAGCTGGATTTCCTATGATGAGCTGCAGCTGCCATGAAGCCTTCCCTCAGCCTTCTCAGCTTGGGGCTGAGAACACCCAGAGACCTCAGTTGCTCATCTTGCCCTCCAGATATTTCGCAATGTCCATAGACTTCCTTCTCTAATAGCTTTATATCTGTATGTTTATGCTCTGTATATAGTCCCATGGTGAATGACTTATTTTGACTTTAACATCAACTCAGTGAAGATAAACAGCCAACTATTCTTACAGCCTACCCAGAGTGTGAACATTAAATTAGGAAAGTCTGGACATTGACAATGCCAGTATATTTCAGCTGAAATCAAGCCCTATACCTTAAATCACGTACCCTCATTACCAAGCAACCATATTTCATTTCCATGCATCTGATATCACAGAATGGTTTGTGTTGGGCCTTCAAGATGAACTAGTTTCAAAACTTGTGCTATGGGCAGGGACACTTCCCACTAGATCAGGCTGTCCAGAAGCCCATACAACGTAGGCCTGAGCCTCCAAAGATGGGATGTCCACAGCTTCTCTGGGCAATCTGATCCAGTACCTCAGAACCCTCATTGTGAAGAATTTATTGTTGACATCAAATCTAAATCTACCCTGTTTTAGATTAAAGCTTTTATCTCTTGTCCTATCACTACATGCCCTTGTAAAGTTCCTCTCCATCTTTGTTTTGGGTGAACATTTGTTACTGGAAGACTGATGCTCGCTGAGTGTTTCTAGAGACCAACAAATGGATGTTAGCACAGTGAGGCAGTGGGTGGTGTGTTTCAGTAGCAGTGGCAACAGTGACAGTGGCTCTCCTCTCCTGGTGCAGATTTTTGTAAGCACAGCATGCAGGCTCGTTCATTGTTAGTGAAAAAACATAGCTAATGGTGGCAAACTACATTGAAAAATAGTGTTTTGTAGCTGAGAATTTGCACTATCAAATGGTGTTATTGTGCTCTTTGTATCTGTCTTAGTTTCTGTGGCAATAAATAAGTTGTATTACTTTCGGAGCAATCAGTATATGTAACAGTGTCTTATCCAGAATTTTTGTGAAAGTCACCCCTTCAAAAGGCTATTGCCTAAACTCATTTATTTCTTACCTATATTCATACCGTGAGGTAGAACAGATCCTGTAATAAATGAAATGTCCTCTACGTTTTCTTTTTACCTTAATTAAATTGAATCACCCAAATATTCATAATCACACATTGTTTATTTTTTCCAGTACAACACATTCACAGCCTTTGCTGCTTACATGATAAATATTCTACTGTGTTAATTTTCCTTATGTGCTCCCCCACTGCACTGCGTTTTGCACAGTTCTACAAGTGGCAACACTACAGTAAGCACTTGTACTCAGAGACAAGCACCAGCTTGTCAATTCAATAAACTCAAGTACAAAGTAAAACACTTGCATGAACACAAAACTTGCACTACCTGGGTAGGAAGCAAAATACTAACTTCTAGAAGAAGCAAGGAAATGCACAGGATCAACTCCATTTACCTCTGCTTTTCTGTAGAGTAAGAAAGAAAATGAAGCAATGGAATTGGGTAGACCATAAAACAAACACAAATGTAGTACCACTCACACACAGACAAACCAATTGTTTTGGAATGCACTCATGAACACTCCTTAGACAAACTAAATAATTATTCCCCTCTATTTGTTCTCCACTGTTTAGCTTTGAGAAGATCTCAGCTGAATATTATCTTCTGGACATCACATACAAATAAACACACCTTGAGAGTTTAAAGCAAATGAAGATACTTTGAAAGACACTCTCTCTTCTAAACCTATGAGGAAAGTTGAGGAAAATTTATATCTTCAGGAGAAAAAAAGAAAAAAAGAAAGACGAAGGGAAAAATGGTCAGACATACCAAACACATTCATGGAAGTTAATTTAGAATTGAAATTATAAATTAAATAACTATTACCTCTTCCACAGGAGCAAGAAAAATTCTAGTCATATCTAATTAATTGCTTTGTTGTCAATTATATCAGGCTATGATGTGCCATTTTAATCTGTCACACTCACCCATATTACATACCACAGATCAATACATGGGTAGGTAGAATATCCTTCCTTTTAAGATTCACGTGCTTCAGCAATAAAAAGTACTGTCTCCAATGCACAATGGACAGGACATAAGAAGACTTCTGCAGAGAGTACAAGTAAAAGAGACACTTTCCAGGATTTCTTATATCAATAATTTACTTAATCATCACAGGGTTTGCGTTGACTCCTTAGCAGAAAGGAGAAAGGGGGTGGGGAGGGAGTGGAAAGTAAAGGAAAAAAAATAAAAGGCTGCTGCTTCTCTTTGGTGTAAGCCAGACACATGAACTATCTTGATGTGTAACATCAGACATTCCCACCTTATTGCAGAAAACCCATGGAGGCCAGTCTGAGGTCCCCAGATGATGATGATCTAAATGACTTCACCATATGGCAAGAAATATCTCATCTTTACCCCATTTTCACCTTTCAAAACTTCCATTAAAGTTCAAGCATGTAAATAGGACTTTCCTCCAGGCATTTTGAGGTAAATACTCTCTACCAAAACAGCAATCAACATTATCAGAAACTATCAGACATCTATTTTCTTAAAGCAAGTCTTCACTTTGCTCACTTAAGGCTTCCCTGGGTATATTTTAAAAAATAATAATCCATTGTTGTTGTTAATTGCATAGAAACCTGAGCATGTAGCCACCTCCATGGAATGTCGTAGCTTTAACTCATTTTCACTGTCCACCTTAACCTTAGCAGCTGGACTTTGCTGAGGACTGAGGCACTAAAACAAACAAACAAGCCCCTGATTTCTGCCATTTCTGCTGCAATGGCTGTAACTTCTGGCAGAGAACTATCAACACAAATTGTTGCAGCAAGGCCTTCTTCTGAGGTAGTGGTAGGCAAGCTGCAAATGTAACTGCAGCTCCCTGATGGCTATCATTTGCCCTCACATTTTTAAGTTTTGCTAAGACAAATTAATCAGTGGGAAACTAATTAATATTTTCATTTTGCTATTCATGAAGCTTCTCCCACTCAAGTCTCATGCACAAAACTGTTATTGATCCTATAAGTTTCACTAAGTGTTTTTAGATTAGTTGAATATCCTTTCTTTGATCCTGACAAAAAAAATAAATCTAACCTCTCAGTCGGGTTACCAATCAGATTAATTCATACTTTACCAAAGAGCAAATGGAAAAAGTTTGACATTAACAATATACCCACTCATCTGAAGCTTAGCTGTTCCAAACAGAGGCAAGAAAATTGGCTGCAGTGCCCTCCTAAAAAAAGGTAATTGTTTATTAAACATAGGTACACTTATCTCAAAGCCTAATTTTGCATTTCTTCTTTATTTTCTGTATCCTTTCTTGCAAACAAACAAAAAACAAGAACAAAAAAACAACCAATCAAAAAAAAAAAAAAAAACCCACAAAAACTGGCTTGAGCTGGTTTGTAATCGTTTGAATACTGCCAAGTTAAAGAGCTGGCACACTGTGCTACATAGCACAGAAGCTTCCACTCCATTGCTTGGTGTTTGCTTTCCATTTTGGACACATGGAAAAAGCGCAGGGCCTGCAGATTAACTCTGGGAATTGATAAAAACAAACATCCAAAGAATCTGCCCACCAGATACCTGTTTATAGTTATGGTAAGATGAAAATGAAAGGAAAGAGGAAGAATCCTTTCATTTGTGTTAGAATCAATTCCCAAGAACGCGAGCTACGATTCCAAGACGCTGGATTGCAACTTAGAAAGCGAGTTTAAACTTAAGTCTCACATCACTCGTGGATCACAGTTTTAAGTAGCGATTGTGGATACTTGTATACACAGATTTGAAAGCGTTTCCATTTCTTTCATTTTCTCGATGTCGCTCACAAAAGCAGTGATGAACTGAGAACAGCACCTTCCCTAGTTGTTTTATTGGACACTCAGCGCTTCCCGGCGTTATCACCAATTGTCTGACAGTTATCTAACGGCATTTTGGCAGTGAATTCGAGCAACAATCAAGACGAAGCTAAGGATCGAGCGACAACACCTCGGAAGACACATAACAACAGACTTTAGCACTGCATCGGTAAGTCATAAGCGGGTAGCTACCGCTCACATTCCACCAGCAATAAAGGCCCAAAGCAGCCGCAGAACAACACCCGCCGGTGCTCCGGGTCCTTACACCCGGTCACTTACTCCAGCAGCGCAGCATCACGTTAAACGCAGGCGAGTGAGGGGAGCGGCAGGCTTTCCTTCACCTTAAACTGACCTCTTGCAAAGCGTGCGGCCCGCAGGACAGGCACACCACCTGCAGAGCGGCAGGCTCCTTCCTCGTGACGGGGTTAGGACCGCGCGCACCGCCGCACTCTGCCTGCCGGCGTGCTCGTGTCTGAGCAGCCCGTGACGGCCTTTTCAGAGCGCGGCCCCGCGGCGCCGTTACATAAACAGCGGTACCTTCCGCCAACAGCACCGGCGACGCGCCGCCTCCCGTGGGTACGCGGCCGGGATCGGATAAAGCCCCTCCGGCCCTGGAAGCGGGCGGCGTGCCGAGCGCAGCGCAACGGCGCCATTTACCCGCCCGCACTGCGCCGTCACCGATTTGCCGCCGCTCCTCGCGGCCTCCCGTTGGCACGGGGCTCCGGCGGAGCGCGGCGCCGCGGCGGGATGGGGGGCGGCTGCCCCGAACGTTCTCGGCCGCCTCCTCGCCGCGCCACGGCCGCGGCCACGAAGTTTCAGTAACGCCTTTCCGCGAGCCTTTTTGTTTGTGCGCGCGTCCCTTTCCGCAGGCAGGTGTCCCGCGGCGCACGCCGCCAGGTGCGGGACGCCCCGCCGCCCGCCGCCCTCCGCTCGGCTCCTCCCCGCTCCGCCCCGCGGCGGCGGGCCGGCCCAGGCAGGCCTTGGGGCAGCATCGCGCTTCCAGCACCTTCTCCACCTATCCCTGCGCCGCCCGCCGGCGCCTCCTCACGGAGGTGGCCCCAGGCCCGCGCTCCGCTCCGCGCGGGCGGGCGGGCCGGGAGGCGGCGCGGCGGAGTCTGGCGGCGGCGCGGCTGTCGCGGACGGAGCAGGGCGCATTCCGCACCCTCCGCTCCACGGCCTCCCGGATGAGCGACGGGCGGCAGCGGCCAATAGGGGCGCCCCTTCAGCGCGAGGGGGCGGGCAGTCCCCGCCGGCGGACCAATGGGAACGGCGCTTCCTGAGCCGCGGCGGCGGCGGCGTCGGCGCGGGGAGGTGGTGGAGGGGGGCCGTGGGCGGGGCCGGAGTTTGGGAAGCGGAGGGAATGGCTGTCACCGGTGAAGTCATGCTCGGCGCCTAGCCTCTCTCCGGCCCCTCTCCGCTGCTCGCCCAGAGGCAGCGGCGCGACACCCGGCGCGGTGCTCCGCCCGAGCGGAAGGTAAACGCGCCTCGCCCCCCGGGGCCCCGCGCCGTCAGCTCCGCACAGCCGCCCCGCGCGCTCTTGGAGCGCAGCCCTGGCCGCCCCCCGCCCGGTACACCCCGGTGTACGCACCGCGAGCGCGGCGCGGGGAGAAGAAAGTTTGGATGCGGTGTCGGGGGAATAAACCCCACACGTATGGTCAGGGGAAGGGGACCGCGAACGCCTGCGAGCCGCGCGGTTCGGCCGCGGTTTTTCGCTCCGTCCTCAGCGGGGACGGAGTCGGAGCGGGGAGCTGCGCCTGGAGCCGCCTGCCCCTGCTGCGTGGCCCGGGTAAGTTGGGGCGTCCTGCGGCGGAGCGGGGTGCTGTGCTGTCCCCGCGACGCTGCTGGCACCTGGAGGCCGCGGGCTGGGCGCCTGTCACGGCGCGGGAGGGAGGCAGGGAGGCGGGGAGGGCCGCGGCCCCGCGCGGGGCTTCCGCTGCCTCCGGTCCGATCCCCGCGGGCACCGCGCCTGCCCGGCCCCCGCCCAGCACAGTGGCACACAGACAGACACAGACGCACAGGCGCACGGACACAGACGCACACACAGAGACGCAGACACACACACAGAGACACAGACACACAGACACAGACACACACACAGAGACATAGACACACACACACACAACGTGCGCTCGCGGTTTGGCGATCGCCTTTCCAAGCGAAAAGCGTTTTATTTCCGGTGTGCGCGGAAATTTTTTTTTTTTTTTTGTTATTGGATCGCACCAGGCTTTGCCCCAGCCGCGGCTACGGGACGCGGCGCCGCTCAGCGCCCTGCCGCGCCGACAGAGCTCGGCACCTGGAAAAGTTCTCTCCTTGCCGGGGCGGGCGGAAGATCAGGAAGCGGCCCCTCCGCTCGCGGACACGTTCGGTGCCCGTGACGCGGAGGCGGGGGCGCGGTGCGGCGGGACACCCGGCCGGGCTCTGCCCTGAGGCGCGCCCCGGGGCGAGCCCGCCCGCCGCGGTCGCCGCCGAGCCCCGCCGCGGTACGGATCCGTACGACCCGGCCGGGTGGAGGAAAGGAGCGGGGCCGCGTCTCCCCGCTCTGCGGAGCCTTTGGACCGAGGCGAAAACTTTCCAGAAAGGCCGGAGGGGCGCGCGGGGCCCGGCGGGGTGCAGCCCGCCGCCTCGCCGAGGCCTACGTTCCTCGGCCGGGCCGGAAGCCGCGCGGCGCTGCCGAGGCGCTGCCCTGCCCCGCGCGGGCGGTGCGTAACGGTCCCGCGGACGCCGTCTGGGAGCCCCGCGCGCGGGGTCGGAACCGACGGCGGGCTTCGGGTCCTGCCTGCTCCCTCCCTCCAAAATTTGTTACGTTTGCACACAGCTGGGAAAGTTACGGTCCTTCAGGCTGCAGCCAAAGTTACCGTTAAATGTTTTTTTTTT